GGAACAGGGAGCCCGATGCGGGGCTCGATCCCAGGACCCTGGGATCATGACCTGAGCCGAAGGCAGACGCTTAACGACTGAGCCACCCAGGTGTCCCTAGTGCAGTGTTTTTAAGAACTACTTCATTAATTCAACAAACACTGAGTACTCATATTGAATCACAGACTACAGAAGGCCATTGGGATTCCTGATGAAAGGGTACGAGGAGCCTAAATTCAGTGCCCAACCGGCCCCTCCAAAGACAATTCCAATAGAATCTGTAAGTACAACCATGTTGCATTGGGAACTCAGAAGTACTACCCAGTGAGGTTCAGAAAAGAGGCACAGAGGCTGTACTGAGGTACTGACACTTAAGGTGTATTCTGAAGGTACAGATACTCTCTAGGAGGGGGGATGAAGGAGAGGCTGCAGGCAGAAGCAGCACCTGCTGTGAGAGGCCTAGCATGTTTGGGAAACTCAACAGCTTGATGATGCCTGTTTCAATTGAGCTTAAGTCCAAGACGCTAGAAGTAGGTGGTCGGGAGAAACCTCGATCAAGGGTTATCTTTGGTTCCTAAACATCGCGAGACTGGATCCTACACATAGGCCATCCTTGGAAGCTAGGACCTTCTCCCATACCGTCTGAATCTTCCCTGCTCTGCTGACCAGGTTGTTCAGGTGCCTCTGGTCTGTTAGGAAATGATGATGATGTTAAGAGGTGGAAGTTGTTTCTCAACATTCTTACTTGCTGCCCCCAGCAAAAGGTGTCAACCCCGTAGGTTCTCAAAACAGTTTCTTAAATCTGGCCAGTCTGAGAAATAAAAAAAGGTGGGAAAAGGGGGGAGTCTGAGCACTAATCTAGGACATCTGACACTTCAGACAATCACCTCATAGCTCTAATTAGTCACCCTGCTCCAGTCACTTCACTATATTGTACGTCATTTCTTTTCTGCTGGGAATGTTCTCTCACCTTTACTAAGGATAAACTGGATAAAAAACTCACTATCTTGAGGAAGCCTCTGATTAAGTGCTCCCGATTAACCTCAACAGTCTTGTATTTCTTATCTTTGCATTTGTTATTCTGGTGCTTTCTAAGTGTGCTCAAGGAAGGTGTGTCCATTCCGTCTTCATGACACTCTGGGCAGGGTTACTGGTTGAACCCTTCACTTTAGGACTAGAATCTGCAGGAAAAATGAATTGTCCCCTAAATATTATAATCTCCAACCTGTACTTAAGTACCTGTTAATAAAAATAACCCAATGATGAGATGGTGGGGAAAAACCACAAATCATCAATGCATAGAATATATTCTCCATAACACCGCCACAAAGAGCCATGGTTTGCCAAGTGTGGTCTAGGGACCCCTGGGATTCCCAAGATCCTTTTGAGAGTCTGTGAGGCCAAACTATTTTCTTTCTTTCTTTTTTTTTTTTAAAGATTTTATTTATTTATTTGACAGAAAGAGACACAGCGAGAGAGGGAACACAAGCAGGGGGAGTGGGAGAGGGAGAAGCAGGCTTCCCGCCGAGCAGGGAGCCCGATGTGGGACTCGATCCCAGGACCCTGGGATCATGACCTGAGCTGAAGGCAGTCGCTTAACCAACTGAGCCACCCAGGCGCCCAAGGCCAAAGTATTTTCATAATACTAAGACATTATTTGCCATTTTTACTCTTTCTTCCATAATATACAGTGGACTCTTCCAGTGGCCACATGACACATAACATTATTTTTCTGACCGCTAAGTATGTACTGTCTCTTCCTGTGTCTTCTAGAATTTTCTAAGGTAAGCTCTTAGGGTCCTCAATAACTTTTAAGAGTATAAAGATGTCCCGAGGTAAAAAAAAATTTGAGAACTACTGGCATAGAGCAAGAGATAATAAGGAAAAGCGCTTGCCTATTAAAAAAAAAAAAAAGAGTAATGGTTTCTCATTTTCCTTCATATTTCCTACCAATCAACCTTCTCTATAAAATTTTCTAACCTATTTGAACAAAAGATGAAAAAGGAACTATAAACGGGTAACAGATTTAACTAGCTAGAGTGCTCTAGAGAAATAGCTCGGGATGAAAGTATGTATGTATTTTGTTACCTACCAGAAAACTTCATTCCAGATAATGAGCAAGACTTCTGAATTTAACCTTCAGTCATATTTATGTCCTGAACCACTAACAGGATTCCATTAAATTTATAGGAGCTCCCCACTCAAATCATAGAGGAAAAAATTTGATAGGATCCCTCTGAAACAGCTTTTAAAAAAGCCTTCCATACTCATTTTTCAGTGAGTGAGAACACTATGCTCACAAGTCTAAATCAAAGGCTCAAACTTGGCTTAGATACACTCCCGAACTGGGGGTAGGACCTCACTTCTTAACCTTTGCCACTTGTTTCAAAAATTCTCACCCCATCAAGAGGGCCTAGGTGACAGTCTAACGCTGCATCAGCACAAATTTGTCTCACTTACTGAAAAAACAACTCAAAGTACAAGTTTTGTCACTTCAAAAGCTGTGTTCCACCAAATAATTTTAAATACATTGGAAGAGTTAAATATTTAAAGAGCTATTTCTGTGTAACCAGTATCTCTAGGCTCTGGGTACATTTTTGGAGCAATAGTCAATGGCAGGAAAAACGAACAAACAAACCAACAATTCAATAGGCATTTGGACAATCCCTTGGTAAGAACTGGACTGGAGAGTCGAATTTCAATTATTCATGGCAACAGGAAGCAAAGACTATCATCAACTAAACTGCACAAAGAACTGAAAAATGTTATTTTAGCAGTTTCAACCGAGAGAAAATCTTTTAAAGAAAATACAGAGTAATGAGTACATGGCTTGTGTGCCTGTCCTCTAATTTAGGTGCTAACCACAGTTACAACTGAGGTCCTAATAAGGCAAGTAAAGTGGGAAGAAAGAAAAAAATCCAAACATCCAAACAATACATAAACTAGTTCATCAACCACTGAGTAGTTGACATTTAGCTTTATGGAAACTAATTCTATTCTTAATTAATATCATTCTCGTCAAAGCATATCCAGCCTTAATTCCACTAAAAAAAAATACTTAAAATGAAAGGACCTATGTAATGTGTACTCCAGATAGCAGCATACATACTAAAGTTCCTTGATTTTTTGGCAAATAGCCCATTAGGTATAAGTAAAGCACCTACCAGGCACTGTTTCTACCCTGCCAATTTCATTAAAAGACCACAATTAAATTAATGCTGACATCTAGTGGCAAGAAAGAACATCTTCTTTTATAATGCTACCTGAATTGAATTGTACCTTACAACACAGAGCCAATCAATCTGAAACCAAAGACACTTCCAAATGCCCACAAAAGATTAACCACTTAATCTAAGAATTATCTATTAACCTTAAGTAAACAAAAGAATAAGAAACATTACTAAACCAGAGGGAAAAGACCCATCTTTGAGACATAAAATTGACGGCAGAATCTTTTGGGGGGCAGGGGGGGGAGAGGGTGGTGGTGCAGGGGATGGTAAGGAGCTCCTTATGAAAAATCTTTGTTTGAAACTACAAATCTGTACCCTTAAAAAGCTAGAATAGAGGACTGCTTTAAAATTAAGAATGCAACTGAATATTTCACTTGAAAGAGATGTCATTTATTAATAAACTGTGGGATGTCCTAAGAAGCTAGTTTTCCCCCTCAAAAAATGTTTTTAATTTTTAAAAAAAGTACACGACTGACGAACAAAAAACCAGTTTTCCCCTACATTTACAAACCAAAACTGTGACTATTCCAAGCTTTACAAAGCCACTGTCTGGCTGAGAGGCTCAATTCAATCAAATGTTATGCCCAACTATGTACAGCATGAATCTTGATCAAACACCATCCTTTAAAAAATCGGAAGGAATATTTAAGATTCTATACGGAATTCTACGATGACATGTTTGGGGAATTCAGGGACAATCAATTTTGAAATATGACTTTTCAACTGAGGAATCTTCCATTCTGCAGGCTGGCGTGGTAGACCTGCTGGGCTGACTAGGAAAAAAAACCTGGTCATCAGTTTGAATCAAATTAATAAACTTTCTTTAAAAAGTATGATCTCCTTTCCAAACGTAATTAGAATCAAATTTAAACCGGAGGTGTAAACCTAAAATGTGGCACATGAACGAGAAAATGCTGTCCACACTACATTCAGAAATATGTCTTTGTCCTCTTATAAACAATTCCAAACACAGATTAGCCCCTACACACAGTCGGCTTGCAATCACTTCAAAATGTCCACCTCCTTCAATTTCCTTCCCACTTAAAGATAAATCCCCCGACAGGAAGCAAAAGATCTTACTGAACTAAGACATTCATCAAACCTTCAGTCCACGCTGTGGAGCGAGGTAAATGCCTCCTTTCTGTAAATCACTGAACTACTGTGATTTGAAGCTGGCGGGTGGGCGTTAAGTCACTAGTTAGAAAATGAACTGCAAGAGAAACCAACCCTGTCCAGGGGCGAGGTGCTCCCCGAGGGTGGGAAGTGTCGGGGCGAGGCCGAGCCGGACGCGCTCTCGGTGGGCTCTACTTTACTGGTCACCTGGGGAGCTGGGGCCACCAAATGGCGTTCACGCCCCTCGGAGCCCCACCGGGTTTGGGGAGGCCTCCCCGACCCTACTTCATCTTCTCCAACCGGGAAACCTGGGTCGGGGGTTGGGGGAGAAGGCGGGGGGAGACACAGTGCGTGATTCCTGCGGACCGACCAAACCTGGCTGGGCCCGGCCAGGGGCTGGACGCTGGTGCACAAAAGGCGGCGGCCGGAGCCTTGGGGCCGGCGCTCAGGCCGGGCGGCGCTGGGACGCCCAACTCCCGCCGCCGCCCCGCTTCCGGGCCGGGGCAGCGAGACCCTAGCCCCGCGGCAGGAAGGGGGGACGACCCCGCCGCCCGGCACCGGGACTCCGCGTCCTGGAGCCGGCTGCGGCTCCCCCCCCCGGGGGACGCGCTCCCCTCTCCGCCCCTCCCCAGACCTCGGCCGGCGGAGGGGGCGGCGGGGGTCCCGCGGGGGCCTCACCAGGCGGAGCTGGCTAATTTCGTCGTAGGACATAAAGCTGAGGATGTTCTCGATGGCTACGATGGGCAGCGCCACCAGCGTGTTGTTTTGAGGCAGCTGGTCGGGAGCCAGCGCCGGGGCTGGGGGCGCCTGGGAGCCCGGCTGCGGGGCCGGGGGCGGGGGCGGGGGGGGAAGTCGCTGGGCAGAGCCGATGGCCGAAGAGGGGCCGCCGTCGCTGTGGCCGCCGCCTCCTTCCTCAGCCATCCGCTCCTCCGACGCCGCCGCCATCTTGGGGGTTTGATTCCTTCCCCCCACTGCAAGGGGACCAGGGGCGCTTCCGATGCGTCACTTCCGCCTTGGGACGCGGGGGCGGGGCCTCGGAGGGGCGGAGCCTGCGCGGTGGCCGGCGGCCCCGGGCGCTTGAGGTGCTGGTGAGGCCCGGCGGTGTCCGTCCCGGGGAGGCGACCTTTGGAGGCCTTCTGATCCGAGGCTGGCAGGGACCGGAGGGCGAGGGAACCCTGTCCATTAGAGTGCTGTCCGCCGGCGCGGTTTTCTTGGCGCTCCTCCTGACGCGGGGCGGGGAGAGTAGTGTTGCCTGGCGAGTATAGACGCGACGTGTGTTAGAGCGTCGTCGTTTGTGGAGAACCAGGTAATGATCCCTTTAGGCGAATGACGAGAGTGAAGTACTGATTAAAGCTATCGTGTGCAGGAACCTTGAAAACTTCGTGCTAAATGAGAGAAGCCAGACCCAAGGACAACATTCGTCTGGGGATGTATGCAGCCGCCAAGTCCGAGGAAGGCGGAGGACCCAGGGGCGGGCTTCGCGGGTCGGGGGCACGGAGGGAGGGAAAGGCGTCCGGCTGCGGGGCGGGGGCCCTGCTGCGGGGGTGAAGTGGGGGGCGGCGGGGGACGTGCAGAGAGGAGGGAGACGCATCCCGCCAGGATGCTTCAGGGTTGGAGAGCGTGGGTGCACAACCTTGCGAGTACACGAAAACCAGTATGTTAAAGTGGTTGGTCCACTGTGTGAATTGTATCTCAAAAACATTGGTTTAGGCAAGAGTCATCAAAAAATGCTAAAAGGAGAAAGTAGGTCGTCTCAAAATAACTCCCCACAAGTTACATGTTAATTACAAAGATAAATAAGTTTGCAATAGAGAAATTTGGTGGACAACTACCATAATCATATCATTAACGCTAACATCAGGCGTTTTGAGAGGAATGGACATCGTGTACGTCATGATATGATATCCTCAAAAGAACGTGACACAAGATAGTATTGCTGAAAAAAAAAAATAAAAGCATAACCTTTATTTGAGGTAGGCAAATCTGGTTAATTGTTCCATGCTCTTCAAAAACGTTCTCATTTTGTGCCAGATTAAGAAACTAACGAGGTAAGATAACTACGTTCATGGGTGATTTTGAATTGGATCCTGGATTAGGAAAAACAGCTAAAAAGAACATTATTGTGACAGTTGGCAAAATTTGAATATGGATTATATATTAGATAATGTAATCATTACATTTTTTGATTTGGATAATTTTATTGTGCTCTTAAGAGAATGTCCTTGTTCTTAGGAAATACACGTTGAAGTATTTAAAGGTAAAGGGGCATATCTCAATTTGATCTCAAATGGTTCAATTGATAGAGAATGAGATTAATAAAACAAATATAATAAATGTTAATAAGTGGTGGATCTGGATGAAGAGTATACAAGAGTTCCTTGTACTTTTTGCAATTATTTCAAAATAAAAACTTTTTAAAGGTTGTGTTTGTGAAAATCAGTAAAGGATGCAGAAGGGGAGGTTGGAAGGGGGAGCCGCATCACTCAAGGTCAACTACAGATCCAACAGAAGAACCCTCCCCAGGGAAGAATCCCGAATTACAGGCCCCCACAGGGAAAGATGGGCACTGCATCTCCTACAGGAAGTGAGCACCCCACCAGCGCGGCCGGTGACAAACCACCGTCACCCCGAACTCCTGTTTTTCTCCAGTGGACTTTGGTTCAAAGCAACCCTCCCAACATCCTCCTTCTTGACCATAAAACCACATTCCTCTCCTTCATATGTTGGACTTGCCTGTGGTCTTGTCATAGCTTGTGTGTCGCAAACTGCAATTCTCTGCTGTTCCCAAATCCCCTTTCACAGGGAAAGTAACTGACTTATTTTTAAGGTTAATGCTTAATATTTCTATATTTTTATATTCTCATAATATTCTATAACAAAGGTAAGGGCGCACAGATGACTAAATTTTGAAGCTTTGTCTTCTTAGTCCTGGGTCTTAATCTCAGTCTCAGTGTGTCCCTTCCTTTGCAGCTCTGGTTTGGAATCTAAGGGTTGCAAAGTAGATGCAGAAACTGCAGGAGAAGCTAAGTGTGAGTAAGGGCTATGGGCAAGGGTGCAAGTAACACGAGATTAACTGGGGGTGGGGTTCGCTGGTCACAATGGGCACACTTTCGGGTGACGGGCAGTAAGGAGGGCACGGGATATAGTGAGCACTGGGTGTTATATACAACTGCTGAATCACTAAATTCTAACCCTGAAACAAATAATACACTATATGTTAACTAATTGAATTTAAATAAAAAACTAAAAAAAAAAAAAGAATTGGCACACTTCCCCATTCACAGGCTCTTAAACAACTGGTCACTTCACCTATCTTGTTGCAATTGTGAGACCCTTTAAAGTTTTTCTTTCGTTTTTCTGCCCCCCATGTTTAGCATTCCATAAATGCTTTATGCCTAAATGTTTCTGATATACTTGCAAATTTATGAAATGTTGTTTCATCGCCTCTAATACATTGTAAGTTCACTTTTTTACTTAGGGTATTGTTCTCTATAAAACCTATTACAGTTTGGTCTGAAATGAAACCTCATTTTATTCAAGTTTGCTGCCTTTTTTTAAAAACATTTATTTATTTGAGAGAGTGTGCCTGCATGCAAGCCGGGGCGTGGGGTGGGGCAGAGGGAGAGAATCTTCAAGCAGACTCCCCACTGAGCATGGAGCCCCTTGAGATCACGATCTGAGCCAAAACTGAGTCCTACGCTTAACCAACTGAGCCACCCAGGCACCCCCAAGTTTGATACTTTCTTAATAGGCTAGTTAAAATCGGACTTCTATAAGTGGAACTATGCTTTAATTACATTTTTTTTTGAAATTTTATTTATTTATTTGAGAGAGAGAGAATGAGAGAGAGCACATGAGAGGGGGGAGGGTCAGAGGGAGAAGCAGACTCCCCACCGAGCAGGGAGCCCGATGTGGGACTCGATCCCAGGACTCCAGGATCATGACCTGAGCCGAAGGCAGTCACTTAACCAACTGAGCCACCCAGGCGTCCCAAATTACATTATGGCAACTCTCATAAAGGAAACTTAGAAAATCCTTTAAAAAGTGAATCATCCCTAACTTAATTTATTCTGTAAATCCACTAGTTAAATCCGGTTTTGTTTTGCTTGAAATGGGTTTGTGAAAAGCCTTCCTACTCCCTTATCTCTCCATCTGTGGTGGTCAACTAGTTAACCTAGGGTCCACTGACCACGGATCTTCACAACAGAATACAACTTTGGAAACAATTTAAGCCACTTCCTGCCAGTAAGCTCATTCAAACTATACTCTATTTATGGATATGGATCTGGTGCCCTTATATTCCCTATACATTTTTTTTTTAATAGAGAAAATTTCAAAACACATTGTTTCTTCGTTTCAATTATTGATATCAAAGTTTGCTTTGAAGATGCTTTCCAATCAAAACAAATACTTGTAACTAAAACAAATATTTGAACTTCCTGGAGTTCTGGGTTCTAAATGAGGCTTTGTACCAGTCGAGTACTATAGGACCTTTGCAAGATGGTGATCTCTGGTATAGGATGGAAGTATGCATCTCAAGATCTGTGTGTTTCTTGTTTCATGTTTACATGGGAGAATAGCGTTACCTTTCTTCTTTTATCTCACACATATGAAGATGAACTGATAGAGCAAATGGGTGGAGTTTTGAATTCCTCTAAGTCAATTTACTACAATGCAGACACTGTCCGTTATGTACATTATTTTGATCCCCCTTATCCATCAGCCTTCCTGGTCAGGATGTGTTGGCTTGGGTGCAGTCGGGTGTGGGGAAGGGTGACCTGTGCTATGGCACCTCCACTGGAAAAAGGACTTTATATATGAAAAAGAGGAAATCCAAACCAGGCATTGGTTTTCCTATTTGTTAGCAGGTTTACAACATAGAGCTCATAGACTAAAAAGAGGTTTGGGGGCACCTGGGTGGCTCAGTTGGTGAAACGTCTGCCTTCAGCTCAGGTCATGATCTCCGGGTCCTGGGATCAAGTCCCATGTTGGGCTCCCTGCTCCGCAGGGACCCTGCTTCTCCCTCTCCCTCTGCCCCTCCTCCCTGCTTGTGCTCTCTCTCTCAAATCAGTCAATCTTTTAAAAAAAGAGAGATTTGAGAGTTTCTACAGATTGTAATTAGCTATGTTTTTAATTCTAATAAAAAAACCAAAATTTATCATCTTAAAAAAAAAACAACTATTTACCATCTTAGCCATTTCTAAGTGTTCAGCTCAGTAGTGTTGAGTATATTCACACTGTTGTGCGACCAATTCCAGAAGTCTTTCATCTTGCAAAACTGAAATTCTACACCCATTAAACAACTCCCCCTTCCCTGCTGCCCCCCACCCTTGGCAGCCACATTTCCACTTTCTGTTGCTACAAATTCAACTACTCTAGATACCTCATCTAAATCAACTAATATTTGTTTTTTGTGTGACTGGTTTATTTCACTGAGCATAATGTCCTCAGAGTTCATCCGTGTTGTAGTGTGTGTCAGAGTCTCCTTCCTTTTAAGGGCTGTATAATATAATATTCCTTTGGAGCCATACACAGCAGTGGGATTCCTGGATCATGTGGTAGTTCTATTTTTAATTTTTTGAGGCACCGCCATACTGTTTCCCTTAGCAGCTACACTATTTTAGTTTTATATTCCCATCAACGGTGTGTGGGGGTTCCAATTTCTGTCCATCCTTGCCAACACTTGTAATTTTCTGTTTTTTGGATAGTTGCCTGTGGTTGCTAATGTGAAAATGTTGGGGTTCAGAGCGAACGGTCAAGAAGGAATTCTTGAGATGTCTTCGGTGCAGAAAGGTGGTTTTATTAAAGCTCGGGGACAGGACCCATGGACAGAAAGAGCTGCTCTGCGGTTATGAGGAGTGACTGATTCTATACTTTCAAGTTGGGAGGGGATTAGGGAGAGTGTAAGTCTCTATGGAATTTGGAAGCAAGGCTTCCAGGACCTTGTGGGGCTGTTGTTAGGAAAAGGCCATTTTTTACTGTCTA